AAAAACATTGTCGAGCACCGAAGAAAAATATCGGCGCACAGTAATCTGCCAACGTGACAGAGAATACAGGTGATGCCATGATTCTAAGCGTCAACAGTCCGATTGAATCATGGATCTTGGATTCAGGAGCATCTTTCCACTCCACCCATGCCGAGAAATCATGGAGAACTATGCCAGTGGTGATTTTGGGAAGGTTCATCTAGCTGATGATGAAACCTTGAAGATTGTCGGAAAAGGAGACATCCGACTAAAACTGCCAAACCAGACCACCTGGAAGCTGACAGGAGTGAGATATATTCCTGGCCTCAAAAGGAATCAAAAGGAATTTGATTTCTGTAGGACAACTTGATGGAAAAGGATATAACACAACCTTTTCAGGCTGTAAATGGAAGATTACCAAAGGAGCACTCGTCATTGCTCGTGGTAAGAAGACTGATACTTTCTATGTAACCTCAAATTTAGAGAATATCATTACAGCCGCAGATGCTGATGGAAAATCAAACCTATGGCACTAAAGGCTTCGCCATATGAGCAAAAAAGGGATGAAAACACTTTTTTTCAAAAGGGAAGCTGCCAGATCTAAAGAATGTAGATGTCGAACTATGCGAGGATTGCATCTTTGGAAAACAAAAGAAAATCAGTTTTGCAAAGATTGGCAAGACACCCAAGGTAGAAATGTTAGAGTTGATTCATATTGATGTATGGGGACCATCTCCAGTTCTATCTCTTGCAGGCTCATTATATTATGTCACCTTCATCGATGATTCTATAAGGAAGGTGTGGGTTTATTTTCTGAAGAAGAAATCAGAAGTCTTTGATACTTTCAGAAAATGGAATGTGATGGTGGAAAATGAGACTGGTATGAAAGTCAAGCGGTTGAGGTCTGACAATGGAGGAGAGTACAAAAATAGGAGATTCAGAAATTTATGTGCAAACAATGGGATCAAGATGAAAACAACAGTTCCCATGACACCGCATCAAAATGGCGTAGTAGAGCGCATGAACAAAACTCTTAATGAACGTGCCAGAAGCATGAGGATACATGCCATATTACCCAAATTTCTATGGGCTGAAGATATTAACACTGCAGCTTACCTGATCAACCGTAGGCCCTCAGTTCCTTTGGATGACAGAATACCAGAGGAAGTTTGGAGCAAGAAAGAAATAAATCTTTCACACTTAAGAGTGTTTGGTTGTATTTCTTATGTACACATAGATTCTGCTGAAAGAAGTAAACTTGATGCCAAGTCCAACAAATGCGTCTTTGTTGGTTATGGTGGTGATGAGTTCGGTTACCGATTTTGGGACTACGAAAATCGAAAGATTATCAGAAGCTTATATGTCATTTTCAATGAGAATGTGATTTACAAAGAGAGGTCAACTGTAGAATCAAGTAGCTCCAATATTGAAGCTGAAACAAAGGAATTTGCTGAGTTCGAGGAGATTTCTAGAAATAATGTTCAGCTCAATCCTGAAGCAGTTCAAGAAGAACCAGACACACCAGAACTGAGATGCTCCTCTAGAATTCCTAAACCAACCCAATGATATTCTCCTTCTTTGCACTACTTGTTGCTAACTGACAATGGTGAACCAGAGTGCTATGATGGAGCAAAGCAAGTAGAGGATTCAGTCAAGTGGGAGTCTTCCATAAAAAATGAGATGGACTCGCTTATGTCAAATCAGACGTAGGAATTAGCTGAATTACCACCAGGCAAGAAAGCGCTCCATAACAAGTGGATTTACAGGATCAAATAAGAGCACGATGGGAGTAAACGCTAGAAAGAAAGATTGGTTGTTAAAGGTTTTCAGCAAAAAGAAGGTATTGACTACAATGAAATTTTCTCTCCAGTCGTAAAACTGTCTACAATCATACTGGTGTTGAAAATTATAGCTGCAAAGAATTTACATCTTGAGCAGTTAGATGTAAAAACAACTTTCCTTCATGGTGATTTGGAGGAAGAAAACTATATGAGGCAGCCAGAAGGCTTTATAGAGGCAGGCAAGAAAAACCTGGTATGCAGGTTGAAGAAGAGCTTGTATGGTTTAAAACAAGCTCCTAGACAATGGTACAAGAAGTTTGATAGTTTCATGAGTAGTAGTGGTTTTACCAGATGCCAAGCAGATCATTGTTGCTACATCAAGAGGTTCGACAATACCTTCATTATTTTATTGTTGTACGTTGTTGACATGTTCGTTGCAGGCTCATACATACAAGAGATTATAAACTTGAAGCAAAAATTGTCGAAGCAGTTTGCTATGAAGGATCTGGGCGTTGCGAAGCAAATTCTTGGGATGAGGATTAAGAGAGACACAAAGTCAGGGGCTTTAATGTTATCACAGGCTGAGTACATCAACAAAGTACTCTCCAGGTTCAACATGCAAGATGCTAAACCAGTAAGTACACCTTTTGGTGTTCATTTTAGACTCTCCAAAGAACAGTCACCAAAGACGGAGGAAGAACGTGCACACATAGAGAAGGTGTCGTATGCCTCAGCAATTGGAAGTCTGATGTATATCATGGTTTGTACCAGACCAGATATTGCTCATGCAGTGGGAGCTGTTAGCAGGTACATGAATAATCCATGCAAGGTACACTGGGAAGCAGTCAAATGGATCCTCAGATATCTGCAGGGTACCACAAACAAAGCACTTTGTTTCAAAGGTGGAGATACGATACTGACAGGCTATGTAGATGTTGACTTAGCCGGAAATGTTGACATCAGAATAATCACTATAGGGTATGTCTATACTCTAGGAGGAACCGCGGTGAGTTGAGTTTCTCAACTACAGAATATAGTTGCTCTCTCCACAACTGAAGCAGAATATGTCGCTGTTACGGAAGCCATCAAGGAGATGGTTTGGCTCCAAAGTTTCTTGGAAGAGTTAGGCAAGAAACAAGAAAATAATGTCTTGTATTGCGACAGTCAAAGTGCTATTCATCTAGCAAAGAATCATTATTTTCATTTCAGGACGAAGCACATACAATTGAGATATCATTTTATCCGGTCTCTTCTGGAAGATGGGATTTTGAAGCTTGAAAAGATTAGTGGAGCTCAAAATCCAGCAGATATATTGACAAAGACGGTGACCACAGACAAACTGAAGTTGTGTTCAGCTTCAGTTGGCATGTTAGAATAACAAGACTAGAAATGTTGTTTCATTGATTGAGGTGTGAAGAAATATTAAAATCAATCTTCAAGTAGGAGATTGTTGGAAAGTCAGCAATGGGTGGCCACCGAAAGTGGAAAGTTAGGCATCGAATGGTGCATTTAATTTTTGTTGAAAAAATGTTAAATGGCATAAGTGCATTTTAGTCATTTCACTTTAGGGTATTTACAAGATTAGTCCTTAAGCTTCAACTATAAATACCCTAACTCATTTAGCTTCAAAATCATCCCAAAATCCCAAATCATTTATTTCTCCCAATACTTGAGAGTTTTCTTGTGAGTAGTGAGTGTTTTGTAAACACCTATAAATTTTCTCTCTTAGTAAAAGATCTGCAGCAGTCCGGAGACGTAAGCAAATTGGCTAAACTCCGTTATCAATTTCGGGTATTATTTTTCCGCTTTTATTTCGCATTCTCACTAATCTGGTTATAGGAAAATTACTCGTACTCTGTTTATTTCCCAACAGGCAAGATTTATACTCTTAATTGCTAATTGTAAAGGACATATCCATACATACATATAATGGTGATGGTCTGAAATAAAATTGTATCAAATTTATTAAATGAAAAAATGCATTAATAATTTGAAATAAATTAATAAATTGAAGATAACATAGTGTTTGTATTGCCTGATGAGGCAAATTGTGAAATGCATCCAACATCATTCAAGTTCAGGCAAAACATCCACGGGAAACCTAATATGAGTTTTGCTATACCCTTCCGACGTTAGCCGGAAAACCTGTTTCGAGAAATAAACAGGGAGACCTCCACCATTTATTGTGGACCTAAGGATTCTATTCGATATGTCAAGCCTCGAGTTATAATCTAATTCTAGGATTGTCATGAGTTCTAAGGAAAGGAAATTATAAACGAGGAAAATATAAGAACAAAGTGTTCTATCTGGAACATAATACGCAACTCCTATTACTAGCTCTTCGCCCATACCTAAAATCTCAAATTAACAATTATCGACTAAATCACTATAAATCACTTCATTTGTTATCTATAAACATCAGTACGATGAGCGCATATAATCTTTTTAATTAATAAATCAATCAAAATTCTTTTATTTTAAGGTGGTGATGTGTCAACACTTAATTAGTTGAATAAATTAATTAAAAATTATGACGGAGAAAGAGAAAGATGATATGAAAATTATAAAATATATAAAAATTGACATGTCATACCACATTAGCATTGTTAAAATACTATTAAAATTAAATTCTTAAAATAGATCAATCATTGAGTGGTTATTGAATTTAGTAATATTTTACTTAATAAGAACAATTTAAGTTGTGATGTATTTCAGTGTGTCGCATTAGTGACATGTTTCGACGTGCGATGTTCATCGTAGTCTCGTAAAATTTCCTTATATATAAATTATAATTTATTGGTGAAGAAATGAAGAAAATAAAAACAAAAACTCAATATAAGACCTATAAGAAAAAAACAAGCCTAAAAAACAACATTTTATATATATACTAATTTAAATTCAACACGTGATTTACTTTAAGTTTTAATAAATAAAAATATTATTTGAATTAATTAAAATTAAATTAATAAATAATAAGAATTAAGTGTAATTATACACATTTATTTAACTGCTACATTGACATTTGGAATAGAAAATAAATGTAAGTGGCTTGATTGAAATACTTTTAATAGTTTAGTGAGTTAATTGATAAAATATATAGTTTAGTGATCAAAATAGAATCAATCCTATAATGTAGTGACTATACAAGTAGTTTACCTAAATTTTAATTAGTCAGATATGTTTGGGTCGAAAACTCGAATATAAAGGCCCGCGAAAGTGTAGAGCGCCCGCCCCCTTCTTTGCTCTGTCTAGACTCAAAATTAGGGTTTCCTCTAACAAAATCCCTCGGCATTCTTTGCTAGATTTCCCTCCAATTCTTCAAATTTTTTGCTTGGTAATCTCTCTTTTTCTTTTTCTTTTCTTTCTATTTCGAAATTTGTGTTTTCCAATCATGAATCTCTTCTTTGTGCTTAATGCTGGTGGCTAATTTTTTTTTAAAAATTAGGGTTCCCTATTTATTGAATTGGAAATGGTTGTAACCTTGCTGTTTTTCTCTCTTTCAGCCGATTTTATATTTTCATTTCATTCTTGAAGTTATCGTGCAGTGTTACTACATAAATATGAAGTTTTGAAAAATACTGCATTTGGAATTTCTAATGTTTTGAAGTTTCATGAATTTGTTGCTGAAATGACGTCATAAGTAATAGACTATGAGGGACTAATGATGTATTGGAATTGATGAAAGTTAGTAATTTGATAGATAGATAAATTAATGCACACATGGATGTAAATTGAAAAATGCCGAGTAGCAATGGTATATTTAAAGTTAAATCTTGTTATACATTTGCTTTGCTCGTTGCAGCCTGACTGTTAAAGGAAAGCTGTTTTGCTCTTTTGCTGGAAGCCCTTATTGTATCCCTTCTATTTCTTTTTGTTCTCCCTTTTAGTTCAATTTCTCATTCCTTGCTTTTTGCCTTTTTGTTTTCTGCCCTTTTCCCCCTTTTGGTGAATACATTTTCCCAGATATATATTAAATTAGAACTGGCCATTGTTTTTTGGGCACTTGCCTGCATCTATTATCTATTTTTCAAGAATTTCACTTTGTTGAGCATCTGAAGCCTCTTAATTATCATTCAGAACTTTCTTTGCCTGTCTCAATTACTACTTTTACTATTTTGTAATTCCCTTTTCTGGGAATCATTCAAGTTGCAACTCCTGTGAAGCCATATTATCTTCATGGCTAAGATTCAAACGAAATTCTTATTCTGTGACTCCATTTGGCCTCTCATTCTTGTTTCCTCCTTTCCACATTTGTACTCTTTTCTTTTTTTCAATGCTTCTGGCTTCTGTGCTTCCCTCACAGTTGCCTTGCAAGCTTGGTTTATTAGATAAATAAAATGCCAAGGACAAGGGAAGAGATTGAAGAGCAGGTGGACCTTGATGGAGACAATGACCCGGAGGAAACTATAGAGGAAGAGGTTGAATATGAAGAAATAGAGGAAGAAGAGGAAGTGGAAGTTGAGGAAGAGGTGGAAGAGGAGGTGGAAGAAGAGGACGAAGATGCTGATTTGCAAAATGGCTCTGATGCTAATGAAGATATGAACGATTTTGAGACACAGGAAGAAAGGAAAAAGAAACATGCAGAGCTTCTTGCACTTCCTCCTCATGGGTCAGAGGTTTACCTTGGTGGCATTCCTCATGATGCTTCTGATGAGAACTTGAGGCGATTTTGTGAATCTATAGGAGAAGTTGTAGAGGTAACTTATTTCTAATTTCACAATGTCTGTCTGTATTCTTCTTATTTAGACTGACTAGATAATGATTACAGGTTAGGATAATGAAGGAGAAAGATTCAGGGGAGGCCAAGGGTTATGCTTTTGTGACCTTCAGATCCAAAGAGTTGGCTTCCAAAGCTATTGAAAACCTGAATGGTTCTGATTTCAAGGTGAGATATCCAATAAATATCTTCCTATGAATTAAGTGGATGAATAGTGCTTTCATTCCCCCCCCCCCCAAGACCAAAACAAAATATTCTCTTCTGAGTCTTATTTCTGTTTTCTTGTTTACTCCTTTTGTATTCTTCAGGGGAAGAAGATAAAATGTTCAACATCTCAGGCTAAGAATAAGTTGTTTATTGGTAATGTTCCCAGAAACTGGGGGGAGGAAGATATGAAGAAGGTTGTAACAGATGTTGGTCCTGGAGTCAATTGTATTGAGTTGTTGAAGGTTTGTGCATTAGTGCATATGTTCTCTGTCACTTCCTGATTTATGAGGCTGGTTTAATTATAATTCAATGTTGCATTCCTCATGGCTAATTTATATTAGTTATTGATATGATGAACTTGACATTTACAGGATCCAATGAATCCTGGACGAAACCGTGGATTTGTTTTTATAGAGTACTATAATCATGCATGTGCTGAATACTCGAGACAGAAAATGTTGAAGCCAACATTTAAGCTTGATAATAATGCCCCAACTGTGAGTTGGGCAGACCCAAGAAATGCAGAATCTTTTGCCACTACTCAGGTTTTTGATCTTGTTTGCTAAATGATGCATTGTCGCTTCAGTGTTGGCCTCATTTGTTGAATAATGTGCATGGGAAGTTGCCTAATCATTATGTTTGATATGTTGCAGGTTAAAGCTGTGTATGTTAAGAATTTACCAAAAGATATAACTCAGGATCGCCTAAAGAAGCTATTTGAACATCATGGAAATATCACGAAAGTTGTAGTTCCACCTGCAAAAGTTGGAAAGGAGAACAGCAGATATGGTTTTGTGCATTTTACAGAGAGGTCAAGTGCTATGAAAGCATTGAAGAACACTGAAAAATATGAGATTGATGGTAGGATATGCTTCTTGTACCCCTTGCAGATGTTATCAATTTCTGTATTTTCCATGGACGAAAAGGGCATCATAGATGATCTTTTGGTGGATTTTCTGTTATTAACAGGTCAAGTATTGGAGTGCTCTATTGCAAAACCACAAGCAGATCAGCAGTCTGGAGGATCTGGCCCCCACAAGTCACCCTTAGATTCAAGCTTCCCACCTCTTCTAGGATATGGTTTAGCTGGGGGAGCATATGGTGGTCTTGGAACAGGATTTGGCCCGGCAGGCTTTGGACAGGTGAGATGCTTTTTTTTTTCACTTTGTTTTCAGACTGCATTTGTAATCAATTTTGGAAATACTTGTGAAGCAAAATAGTTTGACAATTTTTTTCGGGGATATAATATGAATTGGTTCAGATCTCTATAGACTGTATTTGGGTTCTTTACTGTGGACAAGATGACTGGTTGATTAAACTAAATTAGCATATATATATATATATATATATATATATATATATTGTAATCTATGCACAGCGGGCTTTGGTTCTATCCTGCTACTTCTCTCATACTCTCTTCAGGAACACAATGGAACAAATTCACTTAGAAAAAGAAAACCATCTTTGTAGCTACATCATAATTTCCTTTCTTATAATAAGTTTACAAATATTCTATGAACAATATCATGTGAGTGGCCATTATTTTTAGTTTTGTACAACAGACTGACATGCATTGTCAATTGTTCTTTATACTAAGGTGCCACTATCAATTTTGACCTTTTGAAATGCGTATACCTGATTATTTGTTTTTTTAGAACCATTTTATGGTGTTTTGTTAATATTTTTATGTTAAAATCTTGCAGCCATTGATCTACGGTCAAGGTTTAACCCCTGCTGGAATGGCAATGATGCCAATGCTTCTACCTGATGGAAGGATTGGATATGTACTGTAAGTTATAACAGTGCTTTTGTAGTCAATTGAAGATCATGTGAGCCTGCGTTGTTGTTTGTCCATGTGTGCACATGTGTTATTGTGCACGTCTCTTTTTTATGATATGATTGGTGCATGTGGATGTGTACGTAGATGCACAATCTACTAATTCATTTCTTATTTTCATTTTCGTTTCCTTGTGTCTTAACATGCATCCAAATTGACATTTAATTTGTAAAGAAACTCATGCACGTTGTTTTGGTCATTAGACGGAGATGGATTTGCAATAATTATATACATTAATATTTAATTATAACAAACTTGTGCGCCATCTATGTTCTCATCTTTTTCTTAGTCATTATGATCCTTCACTTGAGAAGTTTCTGCTTTGGTACAGACAACAGCCTGGAATGCAACCACACACCCATCCACCGCAGCCCCATAGCAGCCGCAGTGGTGCTAGTGGTAGTAGCACGAGTGGCGGAAGGCGTAGCAGCAATGACAGTAGCCGAGGACGCCGTAGGTATAATCCATATTAGGTTAGTTTCAGTTTGCATTCCATGTTTCTGGTAACCCGAGGCTGGAAGAAGAAAACAAGGAATCTGCTAGTCTTATTTGAGGCTAAAGCATTAAGGAGTGCCCAATTAGCTTTTGTTAGCCACAACATGGTGACAAATTGTAGCTGTAAAACACTAACTGATATTTATTTGATGCCAATTCTAGTGATCAACGATCAACAAAAACAGTCCATTGAATTTGGTTTAAATGGTATTTTTCCCTTCCCAACATGGCAACCAATGTAGAACTAAACTCAATATAGGACTATTCAACGGCATATGGTCTATTTTGATCTTGAGCCACTCGTTGGATTATTATGTATTACTAAAAATCTTTGTATATGGTTTAATTATAAAATATATAATTATTAATAGTTTATTTTTAATTTTGGGTCGAGCTAGGCAAAGAAAATAAAAAATTCAGGCCATAACTTGGCTCGACCTGTAGATGGTTATAATTCAAAATTTAATGTCATTTGTAATATTATTTTAAAATTTGAATTCATTTAATATTTGTATTAAATTTGACTAATTTAACTTCAAGTTAAGTAAATTACATTAGATATTTGGATTTGTTAAGTATCTAATTTTAACTGTAAAGAAAATTAAAATAAAATTTTTAAAATATTGAATATTACGAAAGGTTTGAAATACAAATCACGCTTGACAACTTGGTCATATTGGTCACTAATTGTTTTTTCTTAGTAAAATCGTCTCTTGTAATGAGTTAAGTTAAATTATTCCATCAATTTTGAAATCATGTCACAAAATAGCTTCTAAAATTAATAATGTTAAATTTTAATATTATATCGATGTGGGTCACTAAGGTGGTGACGGCGAAGGAGGGATTTAAACTCTAGTTTATAGAAAATTGGTGTGTTAATTTGAAGGGTCATTTTATGATGTGTTATTCAAGCTTAATAGGTAACTTGATGAAACGTGTCAAGTTCACATGTGAATCAAATTTGTCAAGTTTAGGAGTAACTTTAATCAAATGTGTGGCTCCTGGATTACCCACCCCTTCATTTATGGCTTCAAACAACTGATCTTCCATTTCTCTTCTTTCACGGGTCTTCCTTTGGATAAATATGAGCCCTCAGAAAAGTATCAACTATTCACTACTTTACCAAGCTTATCAATCTATTTACCCTCAACCTTAAAGATGCCCTGGTCAAATATAATACCTCCTCCTCACTTTCTCAACTTCCTCTTAGGCTTTCTTTCCTTCGTTATCCATCTCCGATGATGACCGCTTTTCTATCACCTTTTCAGCCTCTTTTTTTGGGTCTGTTTCCGATGGCCGCTTCTGTCGTTGTTTATTGCTTTCTTTCACCTTTTCCAGCTCTTTGTTTGGTTTCTTTTCCTTGTTATTGATCTCCCTTTTTTAACACATTGACGAAGAAATTCAACCTATTCAAACTTTGCTCATAAACCCTAACCCCACTTCATAGAATCTAACAAATTATCCTGAGGAACATAATGGGGTAGTCATAATTTATCATGAAAAATCAAGGTTAAAAGAAAAACCATACAAGTATACAGATAACGATGAAGTTCACCTACTGCATGCTTTATTACCTAAAAGATTAAGAATCTAAATTACATATGATAAACAGTTCTGTATTTGAATAAATTTACATCGACAAGACTACATATTGAAATAAAAAAGTAAATTAAATTTAACTGAATTCTCAAAGAAGCATTAAGATGTGCTTCCAAGAGTGCAGAGAGTGTCAATGGTGTTCTACAAAACATGGTTATTCATTGTAACACATGATCAACTCATCCATAAGCAATTATTCCATATAGCAAGCATCAATAGCCATTCCATGGATGCTGCAAAATATATGACGACATAAGTTGTAAAAGCTTGATACATGCTACTACTATTCTTCAAATGAACGACGCATCATGTGGTGGTTCGATCCATATGTTCTCAAACGGATCTTGCTCTCCCCAGTCATAACACTGTTTACGGGGATAGTATCTGCCGTCATCAAGTGAGTATGATATGCATCGCTTTCCAAAGAAACGAACTTTAGAGAAGTAGACAAAATTCCTCATTGTTCCCGGGAGATCGGTTCTTGAATGTGATGACAAGAAACTAGCAAACAGTGTCATACCGTTAAGGGTTTGCATTTCTTCCCATACCATTTCTGATTGATCGAGTTTAAATATAATGGGATTCTCAGTACAACAAGTATAGATAACTAAGACATCACCATTGTGCTCTGCCATAAATTTGCCCTTCCACCAATTTTTGGCAAAAAAGTTCTCGGGGCATCTCGGAGGAGGCACATGAAGAACATTCCAAGTATGCTCAAGCGGATCATAAACCCCTAACCAACCAGTGAGGCTAAGACAATAAAACATTCCACTGCAGAATACAATTTTGTTCCAAATGCTACTAACAAACGGCAACCGGTTCTGGTGATTAACAGTAGTCCACTCAGATGTCCCAGGATGACATGTGCTAATAGCGACAACAGTAGGACTGATGTGCTTAATTGTAAAAACCACACAGCTGGAATATGTTGGAGCACATGAGAAGGCAACCATCTGATATGTCAACTCAAATCTGGGAAGCTTAATCATCTCCCGAGTGAAGGGGTTAAAGAAGAACACACAATGATTTCTGGGTCGGTATAGCAACAACCAACCATCTTTAGTGTAACAAGCCCTGGATCCATGCAATTCTGATAGCTCGAGGGAGTAGGTTTTACGCACTGATGGATCGTAGAACTCATACAAGTTACCATATTTTGGAAAGTACATGAGCCACGGTGATTGGTTAATCACTCGGACAGAAATTGCAACCTTATTCCACCTCTTGCATACAGCAGAAGCTCGAACATTGTCTTCCAGTGTTAGGTAGGACATGATCAATTCCAAAAGTTCCCCAGGAAGATCAGACCATGTTTGAAGCTTCAAACTCTCCTCATCTTCAATTGGTTTTCTTTCATCCGCATTTATTGTTTCAGCTAACCTGTACAGATGAAAGGATAATTAATATTCAAACGCCATTATCAGCATTAAATTCTAAAAAGAAGTGATAAAAGGGTGGCATAGAAACCCAAAAAAGACCCTAAATTGCTCAAGCATGCCTACCACTTATCATGCTTTACACAAAAAATTCAAAATTCAATGCTTATTGTTTCTTAAACCTACAACTGATCAATTTTGTTTAAATAAAACATATTTATCTTCCATTCGTTACACTGTATGCTAAAATGGTATGGACACCTATAAAAGGTACTTATTTGATTTAACAATAGGAGTATAGGACACCTCCCATGTCCCAACCCCAGGGAGAAAATTCAAGCCAACAATCCAGTTAGGAATGAAACAACAAACACCAGTTGCCCTTGGTGCATAAGGAGTCACTGTATGAAACATGCAAAATGCTTCATATTCACATCCAATCTGATATTGCCTACCATTTTAAGTCACATTTCTACTAAAGAAAGTCATTTTTGTTGGTTAGACTAAAACAAAATTAACAAATAACAAACGCGCCATGATAAAAAATATTTTCTTCATAACCTTTTCTTTGATAAGAAAGAGGATAAGTAAGACCTCCGTAAATTTGACTATTCCAAATAACACAAAGATTGAACCCCATTTCAGAATCCTATATAAAACAAAATCAATTCCATTACGATTTCATGAAATGGAATTAATCTTAGTCAGAAGAACTTTGATACTTTCTGGAATCCTTAATGAAAAACTAAGACTGTTGGATAGCTGCCTATTGGTAGTACAAAAGCTCACTAAACAAAGTCGCAAATGGTGAAAGAACTTTAAACTTAGTACTTCATTTACAGTATTCTGTACGAAATGAGTGACATGATAACCTAACTTGTGGTAACAACGCAAAGACCCTTCCGTAGCAAACCTTTGGAACCCTTAACCTTGTGGTTCAAAAGACCCTACAAAAATTCAGTTTAGTGATCCAATCGAACTGAAGTCACGGTAGAGCTGAAATACCTCAAGATTGCATTCAATTCAACAATCTCCAAATTTTAAGCAGAAACTGTCTAGCATCAATAATCACAATGTTATGTATGATTAAATGACACTTGATGAAAACGCATAAATTCATCTAAATCCTAAAACCCTGAATTATTCCCAACATAGTCATAGTAAAAAAAAATCCAAATAATACCAGCTCAATAGTTTCAGATATGACCCAATTTTGCATAATTCAACAAGTGAATAACACACCTTATCTCGTATCAAGCCCCCAGAAGGCTCTAATTCCTAAAACTCAAATGACATTTCAATGAAACCCTAACCTAGGGGTTAAAAGTTTTAATTTTTTTATCAGAAAGAAACGCTAAAGTTATCAACATGTTGACTCAAACAAAACCCAGAAAAAAAAAACTTACAATTTAACCTTTCTTTTCTTCCTCCCAGCCATAAGCAGCCGAAAAAGACCGAAGTTTTAACCGAATAATCCCCGAAGGAAGTGATGTGTTAGAGAAAAAGAAGCAAAGAGAAATGTAAGTAAGCTTAAAGGGGTAGTGGGGAAAATGTGTTAGGGGAAGAATCAGATGTGGTTGATCCCTTAGTAATAATGAAAAGCGACAACCAAGCATGGCTTACCACGTCATCTGATTGGTGTTAAGATTGAGTTTGCTTAGATAAGGTGGCGTGTGTTTATTGATTAATTTGATGAGAAAGAAGAATGGAAGATGTATGGAGTATTACGGAAAAGAGAAAGTGACGGCAAAAGGCTTTTGATTTCATTTGGTCAAAGTTGAGAAGGCTAAATATTGATGACATTATGAGATACACATGTTTACATATACCGAAAGGCCCTTCGTTGTATTAAAGGATTTTTAGAGGATTCAAAAGCATTTTCATATTTTGAGTCTAAAAATATATATTTAAAGAAGATTTTTAGAAGAAAACTTTGAATTTATAATATCTTTTGAGAAGTTATTATACGATTTATTAATATTTTTTAAGAGACTCACATGACTTATTAAAATTAAATTTATCGTTATTCATTTAGTCTCTCATTTACCTGTAATCACTATATCCCTATACTTGCACTAATATTAAGAAAGTAAAAATCTTCGACCAAGATCGAAAGAAATGATGCAACTACTTCATACTTCTCTACATGCTCATGAAAATAAACAACAATAATATCGATCAATAGTCGATTTCTTACTAGTTATATATGTTCTTTTAAATTAAAAAGATAAACAATATATAACCATCGCGAT